GAGCAGGGAACGGCTGGCCGTACTCGTTGGCGTGGTGGAGGACTTGCTGGCCTGCAGTTCCGACCTGCTGTCCATCAGTGCGGCCGCGGCGGTTGTGGAGGATGCGCTCGGGCAGCTCAGTGGGGCCCTCCAGGAGAAGCTGTCCGACGTGACCGAGGAGGCGCAGCAGGCATGGCCTCCCGTCGGCGACTCCCGGCGGCTCCTGGACCTGAGCGGTGCTCTCGACGGGCTCGACTTTGTGGCCTGGAGCGACGCCTTTGCGTCGCTGTCCCAGTCCGCCTCGGATGTGACCGAGTCCCTCGCCCACATCAAGGCCGTTCTCTCGCCGCTGCTAGAGAAGCTGCCGAGTGCGCTCGGCAGCGCTAGCAGACGGCTCGCGGGCTCGCAGCTGCATGGCCGCGTAGGGGCTGGTGCCGCCGGAGCGGATCACCCGCACTTGGTGCGCCTTTTTGGCACGGGCATAGATCGATGATCCTCAGGACGCGTGTTAGCCCAGCAGCTTGTGTGTGTGTGTGTGTGTTTGTGTGTGTGTGTGTGTGTGTGTGTGTGTTTGTGTGCTCGCGCGTGTATGCGTGTATGCGTGTGTGCGTGCGTGCGTGCGTGCGTGCGTGCGCTCATGCGTGTGTCGTGCGTACGTGCGTGCGCGCGCGCGTGTGTATGTGTATATGTGTGTATGCGTGTGTGTGTGTGTGCGCGTGTGTGCGTGCGTGCGTGTGTGTGTGTGTGCGTGTGTGTAAATGTGTGTGTGTGTGTGTTTTGTGCGTAAGTGTGTGTATGTGTGTAAGTGTGTGTGTGTGTGTATTTGTGTGCTGCCCCGTTCAGCGCCACCGATAGCACGCAGCCAGTGTTCGCCCTCATTGCACCTCCCGTGCCCGTATCCTCAAGAGCCTGGGTGGACAAGCGCGCGCACGCTCTGAGGATCATCGAGCAGAGCAGCTCAAGACAGACTTCTCGGAGTACCACGGCGCCGTCATGGGCGTGGTGCCAGCATGGACGAGCCTGGAGGCCCTGGCCACCGACAGCTGCGAGCAGTCCTACGCCGCCGTCGGGAAGGTCCAGGGCGCCAGTGCCCCGAGGCGGGAAGTTCGACACGACCGCCGCCTGGAGGATCAGTTCTCGGGGGCCTCGGCAGGTGGTGGATGAGGACATGCTTGGGCCCCCGGGGGCCAACATGTCCACAGCCACCGCCCGCTGGGGCACCAGGGCGTCGGCTCCCAGGCGGCGGACATGGAGACGTCCCCGCCTCGCCAGTCCTCCGACGACCCGGCCTGCTTTACTGGCCCCCCGACCTCTCGGCCCCTTCCTCGGGGGCCCGCCTCTGCCACCCTGAGCTGCCTTGGCACGGGCCGGGGGCCCAGGATGGGGCCACCCGGGCGGTGAAGCATGGGCCACGAAAGCGTTCCAGCGCGACTGGGTCGAGTCGTCGTCGTCGTCGTCGTCGTCGTCGTCGTCGTCGTCGTCGTCGTCGTCGTCGTCGTCCTCGTCCTCGTCCTCGTCCTCGTCCTCGTGGTCGTCGTCGTCGTTGTCGTTGTCGTCGTCGTCCTCGTCCTCGTTTCGGGCTCGTCGTCGTCGTCGTCGTCCTCGTCCTCGTCCTCGTCGTCGTCGTCGTCGTCGTCGTCATCTTCGTCGCTAGCTCGTCGTCGTCGTCGACGACGTTCCAGCGGAGGTCCAAGACTTGGAGTGCCGAGTTCGAGAGCTGGTGAACTTACCGGCCGTGCCCGGGCTCGGCACCGTGGGCGACCTCGTCGGAGCCTGCGAGGCTGAGGCTGCCGGCGACGAGGACGCTGGTAGCGCATGCCCAGGGACGTTTTTTTCTGCTGAGGTGAAGGACGGTGTCTCGCAGAGCGCCGCGATCGTCGGAGTTGCATGCGTCGCACTGGAGTATCTATTCACGTACAATGACTTGGTCCGTGTGTTTATAGCGGTGGTGTTTTTCTTCATGCCTGGGCTCCTCTTCGGGGTGGTTGGTTACAAGTACAAGGACGTGGAATTCTGGATCGAGGGATTCCTCGCGGGCATCGTCATGTTCTCCGCCTTGATTTCTGTGTTTGTAATGTGGTTCGGGGTTTGCCGTGACGCGTACATAACGCATTGCGACGTGAGAGTGACGTCATTAGTTGTTGTAGTATTGAGCATCGTTTGGGCTTCCGTGGTAGCGAGAGGCCAGTCCTGCCAACTGTTCTTCGCGGGGTTCGACTTGGGCTGCCTGCTAGGGGGGCTTTCGTATCTTGCGGAGGAATTTGACACGATCAGGGACAGCGTCCTGGACGCGGAGCTGGCGAAGAAGGAGATGATTATGATGCTGGCGTGGGCCATTCTGTGGGGCCTGGTCTTGGGCACTATGACGCTCTACTTCCAGAAGTTCGCGATCGTGCTCGGAACCTCGGCCATCGGCGCGGTACTGGTCCTCTTCGGCTTCGCGCTGCTGGGGATGACCTCCATGCACTTCTTCTTCTACCTGGCTAGCGCGGTCGCTCTGACGGCGGTGTACACCATGCTGCAGTACTGGTGGGCGCTGGGCGGAAGCTCCGAATTTGGCCAGATCGGCGTCACCCCAACATACTAATACTATGCGTGCGTCGCCCCCCCCCCCCCCTAGAGGCGACGCGCGCACCGAGAAATCTGATAGTACATGCGCCGTGGCGGGCGCTTTCTGGCCACACCGCTCGGGAAGCGAGGTACTACAAGATTGGTACTTTGGGCTTCTCGTGGGGGGTTACCCCTCCGACGGGGGTCAACCTCCCCTCGTCGTCGCGCCGCGACGGGGGTCGGAGCGCCTTTGGCGCGCGGAGGCTGCCCGTGACGGGGGTCGATGTGGGGCTGTCGGCGGGAGTGACGCCCCCCCGACGCTGATTAAGAAATTCACTCGGAGTATGCCGTATGCTCGAGTCGGACGCGCGCCTCCGAGGAGGCCATATAGTACCAGTGTGTCTCTGTGCGTCCCACCAGAGGCGGGGCGGGCGACCCCGGCGCTCCCCGCTGTCGGGCGTGTTCCGCACAGGGGGGGCGATGAATGTCGGCGGCGAGCGAGGGGGGGCAGTGAGAAGGAGATTGCCTTCTCAGAAGGCGGCGGGGCTTCTCAGAAGGCGGCGGGACTTCTCAGAAGCCATCGCGCCTTCCGAGACGTTCTTTGTATTCTTCGGGGAGACAGCTCAGACAACTTCTCTCAGAAGGCCAGGGGACTTCCGAGCCTTCCGAGACGGCCCGCCCCCTCTCATTTACCCTCCCGGGCGCGCCGCCTAGAACTGGGTGATGCACAGGAAACCCATGCCAGGAAACACCCCCTGCTTGCCTCCAGGGTGCCCTGGGATTCTTGGGCTTCGATGGTTTTGCGATGGAAGGCGTGACGGCCCCACACCAAAAGTCGAGGGACGTCCTGGGGTCTCAGCTTTCTGAGCGACCCAAAAGGGGGTCCAGCTGCAAGGGGGTGGTGCAATAGATTTGGGGCAATTGTATTGCAAACGTACTGCGCTGGAGAATTGTGTTGCATTGTATTGCAGCTAATGTGTTGCACGCGAAATGCAAGCAATACATTGGCGCCCTGGAATGTACTGCACGCCCCAAATGTACTGCAACCCCACAAGTCTGTTGCACCAACTCTATTGCACCACCCCCTTGTCGCTGGACCCCCTTTGGGGTCAACCCGAAGGGTTACTCCAGATTTCGTGATAAAAGGGAGGGGGTCTGGACCCTCCAAGACAAGCCATTTCAGACCCCCCCCCCGTGGGAGAACCCTCCAAAACGTCGCCCCCAGACCCCCCCAGGCCCTCCAAGATAGCCCGGAAGAGACCCCCCCCCCGAAATGAGACCCCCCTCCCTTTATTGCGAAATCTGGAGTAGGCCTCTGGTGGCATGCTCCTCGTGGCCTGGCCTCCGCTTTTGGAGGGCCCCGGCCTCGGCGGTGGCGAGCGGCGCCCCGCGCGCGCAGGGAGCCCCCGGCAGAGACGCCGAGGCCCTGGCGGCAGCCGGACCCCCCCCCCTCGGAGATGCGACGCTGCAGCAGAGAGGGCGGCGCCGGGCAGCCTCGCGGGCAGGGAGCCCCGGCCCCCGCCCTGTCCTGCGGCCCACCAGCCTGGAACAGATCCCTAGTCCCTATGAATTGGCATCGCCTCGTCTCGATGCCGATCTCAGGGGTTCCCTCCGTTCATGAGGGCGCATCCCTGAGGTCGTCGTCGACTTTTGGCTTGTTCATCTTAGGGATAGGGATACGTTCGAGGCTGGTTAGCGGCGCTCTTCCCAAGCCCGATCGACGCGTGATGCCCCCCCCCTCCCCGGGGCCCGAGGCGGGGCGAAGCAAAGCGCCCCCCCCAGACGTGCTCCGATCCGATTGCGCAGGCCTTGCGGCCAGCGCCGCCGACCCTGAACGGCGACGACGACGACGACGTCCTCCGATCTGACTTTTGCAATCCGCGGTCCCGCATGTATTTCCCGACCCTTTCCCTGGAGAGCTCAAAGTTTTTCGTCCCCGATGCGCTTTCTGTGGTCCCAGGGCCCGAGGACGTGCCCCAGAGGCCGAAGAAGCGAGGAGCAGCGCCCGGATGGACAACAATCAGACCCGCGGAGATCGGTGGAATCTTTTTGCGGCACGCAGCTGTTGACCAGAGTGCAGCAAGGACTGCCCCCTGGCGATTACGTCCAAGCTCGCCAGGAGCCAGGTGGGCCCAGAAGACGGTCCTGCATTGAACCATTCCGCCCTGCCTCTGTCGATGATCCGTGGGCCGCGTGTTCGCCCAAACGTGTGTGTTACCCCGCGCGGTTCCGCCGGTAGCGCGCAGCCTGCGTCGGCCCTCGTTGCGCCGCCCACGTCGTAGTGCAGGGCCTCGGTGACCAGCACGCACGTTGGCGCCAACACACGTCCTGAGGATCGTCGACCCTGGCTGGAAGGAACAACAAAAAAGAAGTGTGAGCAAGACCTGCAGCGCCCGCATCTCTCGTAGCGGCGGCGGAGGAGGAGGAGGAGGAGGAGGAAGAGGAGGAGGAGGATAGGCGGCGGACACAAGGAAAGAGTAGGAGGAGGAGGAGAGGAAGGAGGAAGGAGGAATGGAGGAAGGAGGAAGGAGGAAGGAGGAAGGAGGGAGGAAGGAGGGGAGGAAGGAGGAGGAGGAGGAGGAGCAGCGAGGAGGGAGGACAGGAGGAGGAGGAGGAGGAGGAAGGAGGAGGAGGAAGGAGAAGGAGGACGAGGAGGAGAGGAGGAGGAGGAGAGGAGGAGGAGGAGGGTGAGGCGGACGAGGAGGAGGAGGAGGGGAGGAGGAAGCGAAAGGGCGAGAAGGCGGAGGAGGAGGGACAGGAGGAGGCGGAGGAGGAGGGGAGGAGGAGGAGGAGGAGGAGGAGGGGGGGAGGAAGAGGAGAGGGGGGGGAGGATGGGGAGGAGGAGCCAGGAAGAGGCGGAGGAGGAGGAGGAGGAGGAGGAGGAGGAGGAGGAGGGGAGGAGGAGGAGGAGGAGGAGGAGGAGGAGGAGAAGGGAAAAGAGGAGGAGGAGGAGGAGGAGGAGGAGAGGAGGAGGAGGAGGAGGAGGCGGAGGAGGAGGAGGAGGAGGAGGAGGAGGAGGAGGAGGAGGAGGAGGGAGGAAGGGAGGAGGAGGCCCCCCTCGGTTGCAGGTACACGAGCCCTGCGCCGAAGGCCCTCTCCCCGAGGCCCGCCCTCGGCCGCCGCGCCGCACGGCGCCCAGGATTTCAGTGACCGCGCCCCCGCCCCGCCTGCAGGCCCCGGCCCCTGCCCGTGGCGGCGGCTGGCGACCGCACCGCGGGAGAGACGTCCGGGGAGCGCGGCGGGATCGCGTCGTGTCGACCAGAGGCGACCCCAGCGCGGGCGTGCACCTCCTCCTCCTCCTCCTGTTTTTCTTCCTCCCCCTTCCTCATCCTCGTTCTCCCCTCTCCTTCCTCCTCCGCCTTTTTCAGCGCCTCCTCCCTCCCTCCCAGCACGTCCTTTTCTCCTTCCTCTTCATCCTCACCATCCGCCCTTCTCCTCCTCCTTTCATTCCTCCTCCTCTCCTCTCTCCTCCCTCCCCTCCTCCCTCTCCTTCCCCTCCTCCTCCTTCCCTCCTCCTCCTCCTCCTCCTCCTCTCCTCCTACCTCCCTCCTCCTCCCTCCTCTCCTCCTCCTCCTCCTCATCCTCCTCCTCTCCTCCTCCTCCTCCTCCTCCTCCTCCTCCTCCCCCCCAGCGCGGGCGTGCGAGGTCGCACGCCGCCAGCGACCCCAGCAAAGTCGGTCGCTGCGGGACGCTCGGACGCCTGGCAGACTGCCGCGGCGCTTCGAGACGCTGGGCGCTGCCCGCGGCGGCGTCGGGGGCCACCGACGCCCGGGATCGGCACGGCGCGAGCCTGCCCTATGCTTAGCGGTGTCTTCGCCTCCTCCGGGCTTTCCCCCCCGAGAGGGCGACGACGCGCGCCGGGCGGGCCCAGGACTGGGATACATCGACTAGACGTAAGAGTGACCCTTCGCTGGAGTGACCTTTGGTGCGGGCCCACAGGAGTCCACCGATCGCCGAACGCAGCGCGATAGTAGCGTCTTGCGCGCCTGTGTGTAGGCCCCCAGCGGCCCCCTAACAGCTGCGCACCAAAGGTCACTCTTACCCAGGGTCACTCCTGCGTGTAGTCGATGGGGTACATCGCTCCCTCCCCAGGCCAGCCACAGCTGAGGGAGCTGTGGTCCTTGCCCCCCTGGGGGACCCAATTATCGATTTCGAGGCCCCTCGAGAGATCGTCGATGCGATTGGGTTCCCCCCGGGGGGGGTGAGGGCCGCAGCTCCCGCAGTCATGGCTGGTCGGCTCCCGGGTCCTGGTCTGTCCTGCGCGTGTTCCTGTTGCAGGAGTCGGCGTGTGTCCAGGCTTTAGAGTAGGGGATCGCAGAATGGATTTGCCCCACAAGTCGTTCGTCCCGTCGAGTCTGCGGCATGATGCGTGGACGGTTGGTATCTCTATTGGGCAATCCACGTATTTGTTTGTAGATTCGACGAGAAAACCAATTAGTGGGTGACTCAATTCTGCAGTCGATCCCCTTCTCGAAGCTTACCGCCGCCATGCCACCATACCGCCGCCTGGTGCCATGCAGAGCGCTTGTTGTGCACTTGCTTTTCCAGCGAGCCCGACAGCCCTCTAGGTGCCCCAGCGCGGGCGATCCCCGCATCGCGGCATCCGTGCCTCCTAGTTTGACGGCTGATTATTTCGGCGGCCGAAGCCCATTTTATGGGCCAGCCGACTCCAAATCTCACAACAGCGGGGGGGCGGTCAAGAACGTGTTGGCCAGTGCGTCTGGGAGCCCCTCCCAGAGGTGGTGCAACGAAGGGTCCGACATCGAGGACCCCCCCCCCACAATCTTGTTTGACGAAGCCAGTTAGACCTGGCCCGGCACAGAAACGGAAAGAGCGCTTCAGAAACAGAAACCGAAATTACTTACACCACCGTTCGTACCCGGAGCCTTGGCGTTGAGAGCTTGTTACGTCACCCCTCGCTCTTGGGAGCCTTGGTGTTCAGAGATTGTTGTGTTGCCGCCCGTTCCTGAGCTTTGGCTGGGCCTTGGTGTCAGGAACTTGTTACGTCACCGCTCTCTGCTGGGAGCCTTGGTCTTATCAGCTTGTTTACGTCACCGTTCGCTCTTGGGAGCCTTGGTGTGAAGAGCTTTTTGCGTTACCGATCGCTCTCTATTTGGCGTCTCTGGGCCTTCTTGGGAGTCCTATTGGGGCCCTTGTCGGGCCCTTTTGGAGGCCTCTTGGGAACCTCTTGGGGGCCTCTTGGGGCTTCTTGGGGGGCTCTGGGGGCCTCCTGGGAGCTTCTTGGGGCGAAAGGCTAGACTTTTCGGTTCGTGGTCCCCCTCTTGGGGCCGTCTTGGGGCCCTCTTGGGCCGTCTTGGGCGCCTCTTGGGCCGTCTTGGCGCCCTCTTGGGCCGTTTTGGGGGCCTCTTGGGAGCCTCTTGGGAAATCGATGATTTCGGCCTCTTGGGGACCTCTTGGGACGCCCCTTGGGCGCCTCTTGGGGGCCTCTTGGGGGCCTCTTGGGCAGTCTTGGGCGGTCTTGGGCTCTCTTGAAGCGCTGTTGGGCCGTCTTGGGGGGGAACCCGAAAAACTTGCAAAAACCCGAGGGTAAACCCGAAAACGGCCATTAACACTCAAGTGCGCACGCTACCCCCTTCCCCTGGAACCCCTCCCTTTAGGGCTTTCGCCCACACCGGAACGTCATCGCTCGTACCTCGCTCTTTCCGTTACCCCCCCCCCAAGAGTAGACCCCCCCCCCGATTATTGTGAGGTTCCAGTGGGCTTCACGCTCCAAGTCTCACAACAGCGGGGTGTGTGGTCAAGAACGTGTTTTCCAGTGCGTCTGGGAGCCCCTCCCAGAGGTGGTGTAACGAAGGGTCCGACATCGAGGACCCCCTCCCCCACAGTCTTGTTTGACGAAGCCCGTCAGACCCCCCAAGAGTAGACCCCCCCGATTATTGTGAGATTCCAGTGGGCTTCACGCTTCTACCAACTTCTCCTCAATGGCCTGCAGCCGCCGCCGACAAAGCTGCAGCCCATGGCAGCGATCCCCAGCGCGCCGCGCTCCGAAGGCCGACCGCCTCCTGGGGGCCAGCGCACGTGCGCACCGCACGCCGCGTGGCTCGATCACCTCCAATTTCGCCACGCGTATCTTCTTCTTCTTCTTCTTCTTATTCTTCTTATTCTTCTTATTATTCTTCTTCTTCTTATTCTTCTTCTTCTTCTTCCTCCTCCTCCTCCTCCTCCTCCTCTTCCTCCTCCACGGCGATCGCCCCTCGGTGGCGGCGAGAGATCTCGCCTGCCGGTGGGCCCTGGGCGGGGGGGGGGCAAGCGGAGGGGAGGGGACAGGAGGGCGGGTTCTTTGGAGGACGAAGGGCTCGCCCGGGGAGCAGGCCGAGCGCGCAGCGGGCGAGGCTGCCCATCGGTCGTTGAAAGTAGGCATGTTTGGTTGGATTCCCACATTCCAACCTTTAGGCGCCTTCCCACTTCAGTGATCGAGTGGCTTCACCTTGTCCGTCCTCCTCAGGGGGCGGGCGGACACCCCATCTGCTTTCAACGCCCTCCTGCTTCATGTTTCTACCTGCTTCTTCCGACCGACGGGTGGTGCATGTCAGTGCCTCTCTGCCGATCCTTCGGCCGCTTCGTGCTGAGGTCCTCGTCGTTTTTGCTGCCTTGCGTGAGTCGGATCTTTACGGCTCTGAGTGTACCAGCCAGACGCTGCGATCCCAGTTCATCAACAGTCGAGCGACGAAGCAAGACGGGCCCCTTGGCGCCGACACTCGCGCCTGAGCTTCCCGCGCGAGGTCGCGCGTGCGCCCACTCGCTTCCGGTGAGGCGTGCCGCGCCCGCGCCGGCTGCCCGCGTGAGCCACCGCGTGAGGTCGCTGTGCCATCTCTCGCGCAGGGCCCGTTTTCCGTCCTCGCTCATCTGCCCATGTACGCCGAAGAGCAGGCTCAGCCCCCCTGCCGCCCTGGCCTGGGGACATCACAAGGTACCGGTACCGCCACTCCCCGGACCTCTCCCAGGGTGCGCTCTGACCAGACTTCCGAGGCGAAGCCCGCGGCGGGGACGAGGGCCGCCCAGGAGGCCCAGAGAGAGGGGAAAACGAGGCGATGGCAGGGGTATTACCAGCCTGGAACATATCCCTATCCCTATGTTTGACATCACCTCACTTCGATGCCGATCTTGAGGATTCCCTCAGTTTTTGAGGGCCTATCCCTGAGACCGTCCTCGCTCTCTGCTCGCCCATCTCAGGGACAGGGACACGTTCGAGGCTGGTTATAGGGTAGAGGGGCACCCTCTCCTCTGCTGCTGGCCCTGGCCGCCCCCGCTGGCTGGCCCGCGGCGTCCCCGCCGGTGCTGCCCGGCGCACGGCCGCTCGCTCGAGCGGGCCGAGAGGCCGCCGCGGGCGGGGCCGAGGCCTCCGCGAGAGGCCCCCCCCGCGAGAGGCCTCCGCGGCGTGCCGGGGGGCCCGAGGCCGCCGCAGGGCCGAGGCCGCCGCGGGGCCGCCCAGCCTGGCGCCCGCGGAGGGCGCGGGCAGCGTCGCGCGCGCGCGCGGCGCGGACTCCGACGACAAAGAGAGAGAGAGAGAGAGGGAGAGAGACAGAGGGAGGGAGAGAGGGAGAGAGACAGAGGGAGGGAGAGAGAGAGGGAGAGAGAGGGAGAGAGACAGGAGGAGGGAGAGAGAGAGGGAGACAGAGGATAGAGAGAGAGAGAGAGAGAGGGAGGGAGAGAGACAGAGGGAGGGAGAGAGAGAGGGAGACAGAGGGATAGAGAGAGAGAGAGGGAGAGAGACAGAGGGAGGGAGAGAGAGGGAGGGAGAGAGAGGGAGAGAGAGAGAGGGAGGGAGAGAGACAGAGGGAGGGAGAGAGAGAAGGAGACAGAGACAGAGAGAGAGAGAGAGGAAGAAGAGCAGAGGAGCACGGCATACCGACACTGCTGCCCTTCCCCCGTCGCCACGGCCGGAGTCGCCTCGGGACCATCGTCGGGACGCGCCCTGGGGGAGAGGTCCACGGAGTAGCGGTATCAATAGTCTTTTGTCTTCCCCAGAAGTCAGAGCCCCGAATCATCAGGGGTAATTCGGGTCAGGGATAACTCGGGTTCGTTTTTCGGGAATCCGAGCCCGAGTTATCCCGGACCCGAGTTACCCCGGATAACTCGGGCGTCCAAGAGCCCCGAATCATCAGGGGTAATTCGGGTCAGGGATAACTCGGGTTCCTTTTTCGGGAATCCAAACCCGAGTTACCCCGGACCCGAGTTACCCCGGATAACTCGGGCGTCCAAAGAAGAGCCACCTCGGTATTGCCCCCTGCTCCTGTTGTGGCCGAGAGAGGATCGGCATCACGGCAATCTGAGATCGAGGAGCTGGGAGGCGAGAGAGAGAGAGATAGAGCGATGGGGGTGACGAGCCCGACGGGGAGGGGCAGGAAGGGGACTGAGGATGAGGATGAGGATGAGGATGAGGGTGGTGATGATGATGACGATGATGATGCTGATGATTACGATGATGATGATGCTGCTTATGATGATGCTGATGCTGATGATGCTGATGATGCTGACGATGAGCATGATGATGTGCATCAGGATGGGGATGGGGATGAGGATGGAAATGCTGATACTGATGATACTGATGATGCTGATGATGATGATGCTGGTGACGACGATGATGCGATGATGATGACAATGATGATGATGACGGCGACGATGATGATGGTGCTGATGATGATGGCGATAACGACGACGATGCGGATGCTGACGATGACAATTCGGCTGATGATGACTGATGATGGTGAGGATCAGGTTGGGGATGCTGATGATGATGACGACGATGACGATGACGATAATGAGGCTGCAGCTGATCACGACGCCTACAAAGACGACGGCGACATCGACGACGATGATGACGCTGATGAGGATGAAGAGGAGGATGAGAAAGAGGATGAAGATGATCCTGAAGCTGATTGCGTTCACGATGATGGTGGCGATGATTGCGATGTTGCTGACGATGATGATGATGATGATGATGATGATGATGATGACGATGATGATGATTATTATGATGATGACGATGATGATGATGATGGTGATGGTATTGTGATGGTGATGCTGCTGCTGATGATTCTGATTATGATGATGATTATTCTTATGAGGATGGAGATGCCAAACATGATGATGATAATGATGATGATGATGATGATGATGATGATGATGATGATGATGATGATGATTAGGATGGTGATAATGAGTATGATGATAACGATGCTGATGATGATAATGATGATGGCGATGACAATAAAGCTGCTGATGGTGATGCTGATTATGCTGATGACGATGATGACGATGACGATGACGATGATGATGAGGATGAGGATGAGGATGCGGATGCTGATGATGATGATGATGATGATGATGATGCTGATGATGCTGATGATGATGGTGATGGTGGTGGTGGTGGTGGAATTGATGGTGACCTCGCGGACTGCGGACCGGGACGAGGATAATGATAATGTTTGTGATGATGCTGTTGATGATATTGGCGATGACTATTATGATTATGATGTGTACGCAGACGAGGATGTCGAGGAAGATGAGGAGGATGCGGACTAGGATGAGAATGAGGATGATGATGGGGATGGTGATGATGTGGAGGAGTCGGGTGAGGGAGATGATGTTGATAATGGTGGTGATGATGATGATTGAGAAGAGGTGGAGGCGGAGGAGGAGGATCATCATCTCTCTCTCTCTCTCTGTCTCTGGAGGCGTTGGCGGGGCAGGGGCCTGGTGGAGGGAGGGGGGGAGGAAAGGGAAAGGAACTGATGATGAGGAGGAGGAATCTGATCTCTCTCTTGAAGCTGCCTCATTGCCACACCTCGTTGATGAATCACGGCCCGTCGCTACCTCCCATGGCTGCACCAGAGCTTAGTTGTGGCCATCCCACAGCAACCTCAAGCATTGATATCGCCGCTGCCGATCCCAACCCATTCGTGCCCCGCTGGGTGCAGTCATCATCTTCTTCTATTCCTCATCCCTCTCCTCTGCTTTCTGATTCGGACAATCGTACGCAATGGCCCCGTCCCGATCGCTCTTCGTTACATATATATATATTGTCAGTCGGCTTCCTCTTTCTTGCCCTACTGCTCTTCTGCCCGTTCTCCGTGCTGATGCGATCCCTTTTGCCCCGTCCTCATCCTGTGCTTCCTCCTGCTCGTTGCTCCTCACCCTCGCCGTCCAAAGCCGTTCCAGCGCAGCTCGAGCTCGGTCCCGCTGGCGCGAGGGCGCCAGGGTCCGCTCGCTGCTGCAGCGCAGGAGCGATGCAAGCCGTTACGCCCGTTACCCCTTGCGAGGTGGGCGAGGGCGAAGAGGACGGGCGAGGCGAGGGAGGAGGAGGAGGAGGAGGAGGAGGAGGAGGAGGAGGAGGAGGAGGAGGAGGAGGAGGAGAACGAGGAGGAGGAGGAGGAGGAGGAGGAGGAGGAGGAGGAGGAGGAGGAGGGGGAGGGGAACGAGGAGGAGGAGGAGGAGAAGGAGGAGGAGGAGGAGGAGGAGAGGAGGAGAAGAGGGCGAGAGAAGGAGGAGGAGGACAAGGAGGAGGAGGAGGAGGAGGAGGAGGAGGAGGAGGAGGAGGGGGAGGAAGAAGGAGGAGGGGAGGAGGGGGAGGAGGAGCAGGAAGGGAGGAGGAGGAGCAGGAGGAGTAGGAGGAGGAGGAGGAGGAGGATGAGGAGGAGGGGGAGGAGGAGGAGGAGGAGGAGGACGAGGACGAGGAGGAGGAGGAGGAGGAGGAGGAGGAGGAGGAGGAGGGAAGAGGAGAGGAGGAGGAGGAGGAGGAGAGGAAGAGGGCGAGAAGGAGGAGGAGGACAAGGAGGAGGAGGAGGAGGAGGAGGAGGAGGGGGAGGAAGAAGGAGGAGGGGAGGAGGGGGAGGAGGAGCAGGAAGAGGAGGAGGAGGAGGAGTAGGAGGAGGAGGAGGAGGAGGAGGGGGAGGAGGTGGAGGAGGAGGAGGAACAGGAGATGGATGATGAGGAGGAGGAGGAGGATGAGGAGGGGGAACGCGGCCCACGGGGGAGTTTGGGGAAGAGGTGGGCGAGGACGAGGCGAGGGAGGAGGTTAATGGAGACCCATACCTCCGCCGTCATGAAGAATGCAGCCTTCCCAAGGGTACCCCTACATCCTTGCCTTTCCGGCTCATCCTTAGCGACGTTCGTTTGCCAGCCTCGTTTGAAACGCCAACGTGGCCCTCCAAGGCCCTTGCATCCTTACCGCGAATCCTTACGATACGAGTTGACTGTGGAGTCCGTTGGTTTCTCTTGAATTTGGGCCTCATTGGGCTCGCTTCGGGCCTCAGCCTGAGGAACGTCAAGAAGCGCCGCGGGGTGAAGCATCCGTCTCGGGGACAGGGTCGAATGCTCTGCGGGCCCGCGTCACGGAACAACATAATGACGTCGGAGGTCCGGGGAGAAGAATTGCGCGCCGTTGCCTTCGGCGCCGCCCCTGAGGTGGGCGAGAGTGCCGATGGGCATGAGACGGTATCCGTCTCCGCCTCAGCAGTGGCCGGTGCTTGCCCTCCCCTCCCTTCTCCACTGTCACCTCGCTGAGCCGTCCTGTACCGTGCGGCGGAGATGGGCGAGACATGTTCGCTTTATATACGGTTGCAGGGGCGCAGGCAGCTTTAGACTTCGGGCGCGGGGAGGCTCGCGGCGCCGGCCACGGCAAGGCCGTGGAAAAAGACGACGCCCCGGGAGGCATTGTAGACGTTCCGGCTGAAACGCGCACTGCCCATGTTGTCGAGGGGAGAAGTTGCATGCGAAAGCGATGGTGACGATGACGGCCTTGATTGTGATGACCGCATCACAGGACTCCTTTGGAATCACGGGGCGGGAAACGCGGCGTGCTATCCACGGCGCTTGCAGGGCAGCGGGTATGGATGCGCTCGGTGCCTTCCACGCAGGTGACCCAGCACCGTGCTTCGTGCTCTGGCTGGCGCCCCAGCTTCGGCTGGCACGACGCCCGTCCCTGCCCTGAGGATGGGCTGCCCTCGGGCTATGGTAGTGTTCGTTCTGCACCCTTGCACCTGGGATGCCCCATGCCCCGCACTGCGCCCCGCCGCCGTCGCATCTTGGCGCAGCCGCCGCGGGCCCGCCGGCGGGGCCGGCCGCATCACACGCTCGGGGCGTGACCCGTCCCCTTGAGCGGCTCGCTACCTCCGTCCCCTCTTTCGGCCGCGTCCTTTCCCTGCTCCACCTCCTGCACGGTGGCACAACTTGCCCTAACGCCACCCCCGTTTAGGCCTTTCCGCTAGCGCAGACTTCCCCTGCCTCGCCGCCGATGTAACAAGTTTCTTGCTCTGTATATTACGTTGCATCTTCGGGGGACCTCGCCTGTCCCCACAATTGGTGTCTTTTCTTGCGCCCGGTGCGGGCTCGATGCGGACCCGACGCGGATTTGGCGTGCATTCGGCGCGGATTCGGCACGGATCCGACACGGATCTGACGAGGCCGGCATGGATTCGACACGGACTCGACGCAGATAGGGCCGCGACGGGACAGACAAGGTCCCCCGAGGATGCAAGATAATGTATATGGCCGCAGGAGTCCGTGTTTCCTCAGTGCGGCTGGGTGAGGCGTCGGTCACTCCGAGCGCCACTTCGGCGACCAACGCCAGGAAGTCCGCGGCATGCACAGCACCAGTGGGGCGCCCTGGACAGGCCGCTGGGGCTTGCGGAGGCGATCGAAGGCCCGATTACGACGCCTCGGGCCACAATGCCTACCGCCTGTAAATCATCCTCGCCTTCTCGATGCCGTCACCCTGCGTGTAGTTCCTCTGGAAGTCCCCACGATGATCGAGAACAAAAGAACCCCTAACCCGAATAACACGATGAAGGCGTGGCCCCATTGAGGTCCACGTCTTCGCACTGGGGATCACCAGGATCATAGATCTGGGCGGTCTGGCGTGGTACATTTGCAGAGAAGCCCCCCCTAATGTTTCTGGCCCTCCTAACTTAGGTCCCCTCCCAAGGGGTTCGGGGGTCTTTTTTGGTTAATCATCCTGGAGGGCCCGACGACCATGTGAGTGCAAACCAAGCCAAGCCGAGCCTTCCACTCGTCACCCAGAAGAAGGAGGGCACCCTCTGCCGCCGCGAGATCCTCGAGGCCCGGCTGCTGCCACCGAGGCCCGCATTTCCCACCATTCGCCGAGCACCCCGGCGAGCTCGATTCCGCATGCCAGGTTGGGATCGACGCATACGTCGCTGCCCGCTTCGGTGGCCTGCTCGCCGACCTTCACACCAGAGCCCCGAATCATCGGGGCTCGGGGCAGTCAGTGGGCGGCGCTCGGGACCTCGCCAGGATCCGCCGCTTACGCCACCACCAGGCCCCGTTCTCAGGCGCTCCCCAGACACGGTCCCAACACAGGGCCTGCCCAAGACCGACTCTGATTGTTAGTTTCGGTAGGCTCCTTCTGCCTCCCCCCCTCTGTCAATTAGAGCTGAGCGCGGCCCGCTCAGCTTCGATCGGAAGAGGTGCGCTCTCGACCCGCGGATCAAAAAGTTAGTTTCAGTACTCCAGATTTCGTAATAAAAGGGAGGGGGTCTGGACCCTCCAAGACAAGCCATTTCAGACCTCCCCCGTGGGAGAACCCTCCAAAACATCGTCCCAAGACCCTCCCAGGCCCTCCAAGATAGCCTGGAAGAGACCCCCCCCCCCCCGAAATGAGACCCCCCTCCCTTTATTACGAAATCTGGAGTACTAGTTTGATCTTTTGACCACCCGCGCGGCGTCGGCAGAGAGAAGGCGAAGCCAAGGAGGGCGTCTCGCTGCCGACCAGGGCGCGACCCTGGCATATGCTCCTCCCGAGCTGGGGCGCCCCCCTGCGGGCGCGCGCCGCGGAACCACTGGCCTCGCCCAGTCCTCCGCCCTCCGTCCTCCTCCTCTTCCTCCTTCTCTTCCTCCTCCTCCTCCTCCCCCTCCTCTCCTCCTCCTCCTCCTCCTCCTCCTCCTCCTCCTCCTCCTCCTCCTTCTATGGGGCGCGCATCAGAGAAACCATCTGCTGTTCGTCAAGGTGCCCTGGGTTTCTTCGCTCCGCGCGCTGCGCGGTGACCTCCCGCAACCGTGGAAGAAGCTGCTGCGTTCAGGATTCTCAGGTTTTCACCTCGCGCGCGGGGTTTCAGGGTTGGGTTTCTTGCGAAGGTTTCTTGCGGCCGCGCCTACACTGTATTGTTGCTCCAGCAGGGGTGGGTGATCTTGCCTTCGAAGTCGACGGGGCCGAGGTGATTGAGGGTCTCCGGAACTTGTACGTTCAGTGGGCCCCGCAGTGTGACGAAGATTTCGCCCTAGCCACCGATTTCGCTTGCAGCAACGGGCGAGCTAGCCATAAAGTTGATCCTGAAAGAATCAAGTGACAATGATAATGCCCTGTCCTGCCTTGATGTGGATATTATTCCCGAAGATCCTGATTGGCATGAACCCCGCTATACCTGGTCGACTTCGCGGACGAGGAGAGGGAGGAGGGACGAGCAGGAGGAGGAGGGGGAGGAGGAGGAGGAGGAGGAGGAGGATCAGCAGCAGGAGAAGGCGGAGGAGGAGGAGGAGGAGGAGGAGGAGGAGGAGCCGGATGCAAGACACCCGTGCGCCTGGACGAACCCTTCCTCCCCGGAAAAGACGGCTCGGCGCCGAGGTCACCGTGCCGGACAGCGACGCCGACGACGCGGCGGCCCCGCTCGCGTCCGAGCCGAGGCAGGCCCCGTCCGTGGTCTTCCGGTGCCGCAGCGCCGTGGGCCGGCGCAGCTGCAGGGGCTGGTCTCCCCGCGCTCCGCGGCGGGGCCCGTGGGGCGGTCCGGCAAAGGCCTCGCGCCCTGCGGCGCGGCGCGCCCTCGGCAGAGGCGCCGGTGGTGGAGGCAGGCGGCAGCAGAGCTCGGAGGTGGACGGGCCTCCTGCCCCGACGCGTCGATGGGCGGAGGGGCCGCTTGCGGTTCGCGATAGAGGGCGTGTCGCGGCCGTCATCTTTGCGGGTCCAGGTCCGTCGGTGTCGGCCCCGGGCCGTTTTCACTGAAGGGTGGTGTAAGGAAGGGAGGTTTGTCCACCGCCGAGGGGCGGCGGCTGGAGGGCCAGCGGAAGGTCGGAGGAGCGCGGCGGACGTGCACGCCGGTCGTCGAAAGTAATTCGGTGTTTCTGGATTTCCAGATCCCAATCTGCTCTCAGGCGCCTTCCTGCTTCAAGAGTCGAGCGGAGTTCCTGGTCCCCACCTCTTCAGGGATGCGGGCGGAGGCCCAATCTACTTCCAAGGCCTCCCTACTGCGTGGTTCTATCCACTTCTTCCGACCGACGGGCAAAGGTGGGGCGTGAGCATGCTTGTCTGCAATGCTTCGCTCAGGAGGGAACAAAAAAAACACAGACACAATTAATCGTCGACCCCCCAGAAAATGTGGGAAAATATGGGAAGTGGGGGGGAAGACAAAAAATCCCCCAAATATGGGAAAAGATGGGGAATCCGGTCATTTGTGTGAGTGTATTTATTTGCGTGTCCCAGGGCCCCTTCATTCGCAGCGGGCCAGGCGCTGTGCGGATGTGTTGGCCGGGGTGCCCCTGGCCCAGTCCCCCGGGCTCGGCGAGTCCGAGGGAGAGGCAGAGGGAGCAGCCGAGAGAGCTCACCGCAGCCTGACCCCTGAACGCCAACGCGGGATGCGGCCCGACGCGAATCGGCGGCGTGGCGTCCTCTCTCAGATCACGGTGCGAGCGCGCTTGCCTGTCACAGTCCAGGGGGGGGAGATAGATAACTCTTCACTGGGTTGGCTTTCGTATCGTCTGCATGCTTTGAATTCCCATCCCGTTCGCGGCGCCTCGCAGCACAGGTGCAGTCGAGGCAACGAAAGAGGGACCGCCTGTCGGACCGAGGGGAAAGGCAGAGGTCGGCTCGGGGAGGGCGCCCGGAGGCTCTTCGTGTCTGTTGGATGCTCGTGTGCGTCCTGAGGGAGGGTACGCAGGAGGGGAAAACACACACAGACACAATGAGTCGTCGATTCTCCAGAAAACATGGGAAAATATTGGAAGTGGGGGGAAGACAAAAACCCAGAAAATATGGGAACATATGGGGAATCCTGTTCGTTGTGTCGATTTGTTTGTGTGTCCCAGGGCCCCTTTCAGGTACCCTCGAGTGATCTTATGGTTGGGGGTATTTTGGCCATCGGAGGGTCTCGTGTTCTATAAGGATGTGATTATGTCCTAGGTCCGGCCGTATCTCGTCCGCACTGCGTCTGTGATATGGCGGACATTCGGGGCTATGTGCTTCCTCCCACCTTGGAACTCCCTGGCCCCTCGGGGCCTCCCCATCCTCCTCCTCCTCCTCCTCGTCCTCCTCCTCCTCACAAGTCCACGAAGCTTGCGTGGGCCCGCCCCGACCGCCCCAACATGACCTGACCTCCCTCCTTCCTCCCTCCTCCCTTTTCTCTTCCTTCCCCCCTCCTTCCTCCTCCCGTTCCTTCCTTCCCCCTCTTTCCCTTCCTCGTCCTCCTCCTCCTGCCTCCCTCCTCCCTTCCTCCGTCCTCCCTTCCTCCTTCCTCCCTCTTCCCTCCTCCATCCTCCTCCCTTTTCTCCTCCACCTCCTCCCTCCTCCCATCCTCCCTCCTCCCCCCAGCAGGTGGCTTCTCCTGGAAGTATCTGTGCAGGTGGTTCCAGGAGCGACGTGGGGGATTTCCCATCATCTGTAGGATGCACCCGTGTCTCTCCCGTCCCCCTCCCCGCTCACCCACCCTCGCCCCTTGCCCCCTCCTCCTCCATGTCTTTTCCTTATGCCTCCTCCCTGTCGCGCCCCCAGACTTGTCTGCATGGCGGGACGGGCGTTTCGCCTGAGATTTCCTCGCCATTTATGGCGCTGAGGCTTGGAATTGGCAACGGCTTCACGGATGGAGGGCGGGTGGTTTCCAAATCGGGATTATCGTGTTAGCGCATCGAGCATTCAGGTCAGAAGTTCGCAACACCTTCAAGAATGGAGGGCGGGGCGTTTTCAAAACATGGTTCTCGCCTTAGCGCCGCGCCCATGTGCCTTGAACATTTGCAGCGTGTCCATTTCAAAATGTGGCTATCGCCTCAGCGACGCGCACGCTTACAGGTTCACGGATGGAGGGAGGGTTGTTTTCACAATATGGTTCTCGTCTTAGCTCCATGCATATCTGTCTTGCATGGTTGCAACAGTTTCACGGATGCAGGGCGTCGTTTTCAAAATGTGGCGTTCGCATCAGCGCCGCGCGCATTCGCGGTAGCATTCTGCAGCAGTTTCACGGATGGACCGTGGTTCAATTTCAACACATGGTTCTCACGCTCGCGCCGCGGACGTTCTTCTAAACCGTTTGCAGCTTTGACGGATGGAATGTGGCGGGTCGGTTTTCACAGTGTTGTTCTCGTCTCCGCGCCGCGGGCATTCGTCTTATAGGGGACCAGACAATGACATAAACATGCAAACTCGGAGGTCCGTGCGGATTTCTCGGATCGGCGCTGGGGCCCCCTGGCGGCGCCTCCGGCGCCGCCCCTGGCGCGCTCCGCGCGCCAGGGAGGGGGTCCAGCGCGGATCCAAGAAATCCGCGCGGACCTCTGAGTTTTTATGTTTATGCCACTTTTCGTTCCGCTAGTCTTCCAACTTCGGAGGCGCTTCGCGGACTGAGGGCGGTTCCTTTTCGACGTGTGCCTCTCGTCTCTTAGCGCCGCGTTCACATTCGTTTGACTTGCGTGGCGCAGCTCGAAGGACGGAGGGGAGGAGGGGGAGGAGGAGGAGGAGGAGGAGGAGGAGGAGGAGGAGGAGGAGGAGGCGTTGTCAAAACGCGGCTCTCGCGGATTTGCGCCATGACCATTCCCCCCTACAATTTTGCGCAGCAGCTTTTTCCGTGTGGAGGGCGGCTCCTTGGCAACATGTGGCTCTGGAGCGTAGCTTCGTTTGGAAGTTTCTTTGCGCCAGCTTCATGGATGGAGGGTGGCTCCTTTTCTTTTCAAAGGGGGCTCTCGGCTTCGCACCGCGCACATTCCTCCCAAACGTTTGCAACAGCCGTTGCCGTTTTCAAGTGGGACTTTCGCCTCAGCGCCTTGCGCACTCGTTCTTTGACGCAACGTTGGGCAGGATAGGGGGCTATTTTTTTTTTACTTTGGAGCTCGTACCTGAGATTGTATTGACGGAAAGGCCCTTAACATCAACGTTCGTAGTGCGGCATGGATCCATAGTGTTCTTGAGAGTTGAATTGTCCCTTGAGGCTTCTTCGAAGTGCATGGCCACGAGTAAACACAGTAACAATGTGTGCAGCAGTTACACGGATGGGGGGGGCGGTCCTTTTCTCGGAAATGGGGGATCTTGTTGGACACCTCGTTGAACTGTATGCTTTGTCTTTCGCGTTCCTGCTTGCGCCCGTAACATGCAAGCTGGGCTCTTTTCAAGCAGGGCTCTCACCAAACAGGCAGGTCTAACAGTTAGTCTTGCAAGGGGGGCGCTTCTTGTGGTGACAGGCAGGATGTGCAGGGTCGTGTGAGGAGGGAACTTGGATGGACGTGGGACAGCGTGGTGTATTGCATACTCTGGCCCTCCCTCACCCCGCCCCCTCCTGCCGCTCTCCATGAACGGCTCCCGCGTGAGCGCCGCGCAGACGTGTCCGAACATGCTCCACCCGCCGCACTGCTGCACCGCGGGTTTGGTTTCTCGTGTCAGCGCCGCGCGCATCCGCTGGAGCGGTCGCCAACGGCCTCAGGGATGGAGGGCGGGTCTCTTACGGACGACATCTTGAGAGTCGCCCACCGACAGCGCCACGGTCGTAGCGGACAGGAGGAGGAGGAGGAAGAGGAAGGAGTAAGAGACGGATGAATCCGACTTCTGCTTGAGACATCTGCCGCAGCCTTCCCCACAAGCGTAGCTTTGAGCCACCGTTGATTGCACGGGCGGAGAGCGGCTGCTCTTCCAAGCGTTGTGCTCGCTTGAGGTGTCTTACCGTGGGGGCCCACGCCAAGAATCACCCTGCTTGCCTGCAGGGCGCCCTGGGTTTCTTGGGTGTCCATGGCTGTGCTATGGAAAGTGCCACGCTCCCGCACCAAACCTCAATGCACGTCATGGGGTCTCAGGGTTGGGCTTCTCGTGGCAGGTCTCTCGTGGACTGGCCCCAGCTGTACTGGGAGTCCCGGCCAGAAGTGTGCAGGACTCGCCGAGCGCGTTCCACTACTCGCAAAGTGCCTGCTCGCAGACGTCCGAAGCACGCCTGTCTGCTTGGATGCAATCTATCGTAGATCCCCCGAGGGGGATCCAGGCCGTTTGCGAGTCGGTACTTTGCGAGTCGTGGAACGCGCTGGTCCAACGACTTTGTGCGCAGCAGCGGCTGCGCGAACGGAGGGCGGCTCCCCTTCTCTCGACGCGGGGCCCCCGCCTGCCGTGTCCTCGGGCTTCCTAGCCCTGCCTGCTCGCGCAGGCGATGCATTTTCCCCGGAACTCACACGTTTTCGGCGAGGAGGAGGAGGAGGAGGAGAAGGAGGGGGAGGAGGAGGAGGAGGAGGAGAAGGAGGTGGAGGAGGAGGAGGGAGGAGGAGGAGAGGGGAGGGGGGGGAGAGGAGAGAGGAGGAGGGAGGAGAGGAGGAGGGAGGAGGAGGGGGAGGAGGAGGGGGGAGGAGGAGGAGGAACAGTGCAGCCGCTCAGGAGAGGCGGGGAACCCAGGGATGCACCCCAAGGGGGCCACTCGGACGCACCCCTCTCGAGGACTGACGCCTCCCCCCCATCGTACATCCAGGGTGGGGCCCGAACTTTCTGGCCCAGTCGAAGGCCCCACGAAGCCCGGCACAGGGGTCGACATATCCCCCGTTGTCCTTTTCAGAGAGGGGCCTTCGCTTGACTTTTCCTTGGACTTCCTGGTCCTGCCTTGTCGCATCCCTCGTCGCTGGAGGATGCAGGGCAGCTCCTGCTCAAACCGAGGCTCCCGCCCAAAGGGCACGCCCAGCCTGGGCGCTCGCCTCTTACGGGGATCGCTCCTTCCCGCAGTGGAGACGAGTGTCTGGAGGAACTTCTGAGGAGGGGACCCGGGACGGCAGTCGTGCGTTGCAGCATCGTTGATGCATCCTCCTCCTCGTCCTCCTCTTCCTCCCAGACGCTGGCTCCTCTCCGCTTCATCGAGGGTCCCTCTCTGGAGCCTTGGGCATACCTCCAGAGACCTCCGAAGCCTTCTGGAGTCCTCCGGGGACCTCCAGGGACATCCGGAGACTCCCAGAGACCTCCAGGCGTTGGCCTCGCCTGTGTGCGGGGGGCAGGACGAGGAACGGATGGATCACTGTCCAGTCAAGCCTTGGCACCTTCACACGGGGACGGCGCGGAGGTGGGGCAAGCGCGCCTCGCTGCACTGATCGGGGGCCCCCAAACGGGGTGGTGACCACACCGTGCGGTGAGTCGGTGGGGATTTGCGGTCACCGCACGATTCTGGGGCTCGGGTCGTTTGCCGAGGAGGTCTCGGGCGACAGGGGCCTCCGAGGCCCCAAGACCGTGCGGTGACGGACCGTGCGGTGAGGTCTTGGGGGATTTCGAGGTCACCGCACGGCCCGTCACCGCACCGTTTCGGGGCTCCAGAATTGAGCACGGCCAGCGTTGGCCCCTGCTCAGGTGTTCTGGTCTGGGTGCTCGCCCGTGAGCAGTCGTCTGCCGTGGCGGCGCAAGTCGGCCACGCGCAGAGGGGGGTAGGGGAAGGGGGGAAGGCTTCTTAGAAGCACCCTGCTGCTTTGAAGGCGCGGGCGCCCCGTCTAAGAAGCCTGCGGTTGCCTCTCAGGAGCTGTTCCTGGCGTGCTTCCGAGAAGCAGGTGGCTTGCTTCGAGAAGCTTTCTTTGCTTCTAAGAAGCAGTTCCGTGCTTCTAAGAGGCTCCTGGGGTGCTTCTAAGAAGCGGCGCGCCCTTGGCTTCTTAGAAGGGCGGCCGGCGCCTTCTAAGAGGCAGCCGTTCCCCTTTCCCCTTTGTGCGCGCCGCCGAGCAAGAGGAGACCAGGGGGCGGGGGAGGAGGAGGAGTCGTGGTGGAAAAGGAGGAGGGCCGTGGGCCGTGGGACGTCTGCTTTCTCCTTCGCATCTGGAGGTGCCCTGCCGCCATGGAGAGGAGTGGGACAAACCTAGGACCCTAGGCTTGAGTCGGGCACGTCCCTCTGCAGGAGGAATCATCAAACATGGAATTGACAACAAAAATAGTCTGGGGACGATTGTTTGACTCTTGTCTGACTATATTTGAGACGTTGTTTGACTATGTTTTATTTTGCGTCCAAATGCGCCTGTAGGAGAGTGAGCGCCCTCAAGCGTCTAATTAGTGGAAGCCTTTAACTCGAGTGTGCACGGCGCTAAGGCGGGAACCAGCCTTTCCATCAGATCCGCTTCCCATCCGCACACCTGTTGCAAGCTCTACGCCTCCACATCGCAAGGCGTCGAAAGATCACAGGCGAGACGCCGGCCTGCCATGCCAACACGTTTATCAACGCGCCTGATGCTCTCCTGGTATTCATCCAGAAGGTCGACCTCCCTCCCTCCTTTCTTGGGCGAAACACATATCCGTATCCGCGGCCTCGCGGGCTGGTGGGCCCCTGGGCCGCGACAAGGCGGATGCGGGGTGTTTTCTCGCGGATGCCCCGCGCTAAACGTACCCGTGCAACCGCGTATCCGCGGAATCGCTCCACAGAGTCCAATCCGCGAGGCCGCGAATACGGATTTGTTCGCCGCTCGTAACTTGTGTGAGGGCCTAAGAGTTGCTAACTTGGTCTGTGCGCTTGTGCGCCCGCACTCTTCCTGCAGCGACAGCTCGTATACGCTGGACTGATCCAGGCCAATTTCAGTATGCCCCGATTCTGAGACACGAGTGTGGTCTGTCGAGGTTGGAAGCTGGATCCTTGTCCTGCTGCTAGCTGTTCACTGTTCCTTGCACCTGAGGCGCGCGGATGCGGATACAGTCAACCCGCATAAAAAGGATGGGCAACCTTCCCCTGTGGGGAAAAACACACACCTGTGGACAAAACACACACACACACCTGTGTGTTTTTTCCCCTGTGGGTACCCTTGCATCCTTGCCTCCTCGGGTCAACCCTGGGCCACTCGTTGGCCGCGCCCCGCTCGAAGAGCTTCGCAGAACGGGCGCCCGAGGCCCTCTTGCACAATCGCGTACGCTTCTTGCGGGCAAAACGTGTGTCCATATCCACTGCAGCTTGGGGTTTCGGGCTCCCTTCCCCAGAAAGCCGAGGAGCACTGGAGATGGATACAAATCAGGCCCCTACCAGAGGCTCGCATTCTGTCCATGCCCAGGGCGCCTCGGCCTTGCGACGCCCCTTTCCGCGAGAAAGTCCAAGACGCCCTGGATAGGGAGATAGAAATATGGCCCACACTTCTGCTGCACGGGCCGCCCAGCGCTCGCCGCCCGTGGACCCTGCTATTGTGTGGGGATTTGGGGAATCCTGTTATTTGTGTGTATTTATCTGTGTGTCCCAGGGCCCCTTCAACTACGCTCGGGCCGGGCGAAAGGGGGGGATTGGGAAAGGGGGGGGGGGTACGAAATCTGCTGCATGCAGCTGGTTTCGGCCCCACAGAAGGGGCCCTTCCTCGATACGTGGCAGCCTCTGGCGCCGGGAGGCGCCGGGAAAATCAGCGACGTGAGCTGATTCTCAACCCCCCCTTTGCTATCCCCCCCTTTCGCCCGACCCGATGCGCTCGCCGCCCGTGGGGCCCTCCCTCCCCGCCAGGTCCCTGGGGCTGCTGGCCGCGGGGCTCGCCGGTGCGGCGGCTCTGCTGCGGCTCGGCGCGGCGCCGCGCGGCGCCGGCGGCGCCGCCCGCGACGAGAGGCCTCGCTGTGCGCCGCCTGCCGGCCGCCGGGGTGCCGCCGCTGCCGCCGTGGACGTCTCCTGCGGGCGGTAGTTATATCCACATCCAGTGCGTCTTGGATTCTGGTCTCCTTGTCATCCCTCCTCCTCTCCTCCCCCTCCTCCTCCTCCTCCTCCTCCTCCTCCTCCTCCTCTCCTCCTCCTCCTCCTCCTCCTCCTCCTCCTCCTATGTCAAAGTCAAGAAGGCCTACACCGAAGGGGGGCAGCCAGAGAGATGGAAGCTCCAGCCGACGCTCAACAGCCTCGCATGCTGCCCTCGGGCACCCTCATGGGAGGACCAAATCAACGCCTCTCGAGAAGGAAGACAGGAGCCGCCCGTCAAGATCAGCCGCACCAAGCAGAATGGGGACCTCAGGAAAGCCGTCGAGGACAAACTCCAAACGGCAGAGGCAGTGCAGATATTCCGAGCACCGCCGCTATCAGGTCTCGTGAGGGAAGTACAGGCAGCATTGTGAGTATGTCAGCTGGCGATGGAGGGATAGAGATGACAGAACGTAGAGAGCAAGCCAGGGATAGCAGTCGCGAGGCGATGGGCCGCTGCGACGCACCACCATTCGTGATGGCTCCTCGTATTTTCTTTTACGTGAAGTCGTTAAGCACCTGTCTTGGGGATTTAGGCGCCAAAGGGTGCCTCTCTTTGTTTCCCTCCCTGGTTCCCGAGGCGTTCGCCTGTTTCGATTTGTTCCCTCGTGGGCCTTTTGGTCCGCCGCATCACGGGAACCTGGACCTCGGGACCAGACAGGTGCACAACGACGGAGCGCGCAGCAGTTTTAGTTAGAGGAACTTGGGGGTTGGGGGAGTGTGAGTGTGGGATGGGGGAGGGGGAGGCGGTGGCGGGAATACTGCTACACTGGGACACGTCCCGAGCCAGGGGCGATTGGCCAGACGGCCCTAAGCCCCTGCCGTTTCCATAACAATTTTGTTTTCGGGAAGGCCCCGCGCTGAAGCGGGCCGAGAGGCTGAAAAGCCAGGGTCCCGTAGGCGACCCGTCGATCCGCCGATCTGACGTGCCAGCAGCAATTAGGTTCGTATGCAGTCGAACCCCAGACAGCTGCCAAGGCTTCCGGCTCCGACTCCGACTGCTCGTCCCCCTCCTCCTCTTCCTCCTCCTCCTCCCCCTCCTCCCCCTCCCCCTCCTCCTCCTCCTCCTCCTCCTCCTCCTCCTCCTCGTCCTCCTCCTCCTCCTCCTCCTCCTCCTCCTCCTCCTCCTCCTCCTCCTCCCCCTGCGGGCAATAGTTATATCCACATCCAGTGCGTCTTGGATTCTTGGGCTCTCTTCCCCAGAAGCCGTAGGCGCACTGGGCATGTATAAACAAGTCTGGCCCCAAGGGGCTTGATTTCATCCACATCCAGTGCGCCTTGGCGTTGCGGCACCTCTTCCCGAAAAGTCCACGACGCTCTGGATATGGATAGAAGTACTGCCCACGTCTCCGCTCCCCGCCGCCAGCCGGAGGTCCCCGCGGGGATCGCCCGTCTGGAACACACACACACAGACACAACGAAGCGTCGACTCCCAGGAAGAGGAGGGGAGCAGATGGGAAGGGGGGGGGAAGACGAGAAGCCAGAACATAGGAGTACATATGGCCAATGGGGGATCCTGGGAGTTGTGCCGATTTCTTTGGGTGTCCCTGGGCGCCTTCACTAGAGCGATGCAGAGAAGGCCAGCGCGGCGCCCTTGCGCGGGGGATGGCACGGCACACGTCGAGGTGTGCACGCAGTGTCCCGGAGCTCGCTCTCTTCTGTCCGCCGCCCGCCGCCGCCAACTCCTCTTCCCCCTCCTCCTCCTCCTCCTCCTCCTCCTCCTCCTCCTCCTCCTCCTCCTCCTGCTCGTCCCCCTCCTCCTCTTCCTCCTCTTCCTCTTATTCCCTCCTCTCCCTCCTCTTCCTCCTCTTCCTCATCCTCTGGTCCTCCTCCGTTCTCTCCCTCCTTTTCCTGACCAGGAGTCTCCCCGTCGCACTGCTGAAAGGTGTTGGCAGAGCGGGCCAGGCGGTTCGCCCGAGGCTCCATCGCGGCTGCTGGTCACGAAACGCGGCATGCTGCACCTGCTACAAGGGAGGTGGCCCTTTCTGGGTAGTCGAAGGCCAGACTGTCAGATTGGATTGGGCCCCCAGGGCCAATCTGGCCCGGCCAAACTGGATGATCTGGGTTCTTCGCCAGACTGGATTCGCGCTGGTTCCCTCGCCAGATTGCCCCCGTTTGCCAGTCTGGGCCTGCCAGATTGGCGCCAGATTGGCTTCGACTACCCAGCCTTTGTTAAATCAAGGGCAGAAAAAAACACGCCCCTATCCTGGTTTACGGGGCGCTGTGCGCTGAAACTCCTGTGGGCCGACAGGCCGAACCCTGCGTGATGTGCCGCGTCCCGGCGGCTCTAGGCTTTGGGGGTTCCCAGGAGGTTCGCAGACCACGCACTTGTAACCCAGGGTAGGGTCGCTTTTTGTCATCCCTCAATTGAAAGGTGGCCCTTGCCTCAGCGCCGCACACATTCGCTAGGCAGGTTTGCAGCAGTCGCGCGGATGGGGGGCAGAGGCGCTTCAACTTGTGGCCTTCGCCTTGTCTGCGGTTCACGCACTCGTTTGGGGCAGCGCGAAGGAGCTGCACGGTGAAGGGGGGGGCCTTTTTCCAAAGCGTGGTTCTGGCCCTCGCGTCGCGCGCGTTCGCCTGAGTTGCACGGGTGGAGCTGGAGGGCGGTGTGCTTCTCGAGCGGGGACGCTGGCTTTTGGGTTCCTCCGGCTTGCGCCTTGCGGATCCTGCAGCAGAACTCTGCAGCAGTTGCACGGATGGAGGGCGGCTCCGTCTTCAAGCGGGGCTCTCGCCCGAGAACTTGTCGGAGTTCATGCACGGCGTCGCACGCATAGCGGTCGGCAAGCTGCGCAAGGACGAGTGCCCCTGGCGCTTCGAAGCGCAAATCACGGTTTCATCGCCGCGGGCTCTGCCCCCAGGAAGATCGCCTCCCTACTACCCCCTTTGCATCACCCGCTGTTCCCCTCCCTTTCCTTCTTCTCCTCCTCCCCGGGGGAACGAAACCCGGCCCGATCCCCAAAGCAGCAGCAGGGCCACCCCCCCAGCGAGGAGATCCATGATGCCCCCCGAGCTGGGCCCAGTGCTCCTTGCGATGACGGTGTTGGTGCCAATTCTCCTTCCTCCTACCACCTCTTCTTCGTCTGCCCCCTCCTCCTCCTCCTCCTCCTCCTTCTCCTCCTCCTCCTCCTCCTCCTCCTCCACCGCCTCCACTCTAGGCCTCCTCTTCTAGATGGGGTCGGAGTGTATGGGGTCGGAGGATCGCGCCACATCGCCGATGCATCGCCGATGCGGCTCGATGTGGAGCCCGATGTGCATCACGTCGACGTCGCCGTTGCATCGCCGACGTCGACGATGCATCGCCGGTGCATTGCCGATACATCGCCGATGCATCGCCGATGTATGGCGATGTGGCGCGATCTTCCGACCCCATCTACTCCGACCCCATCTATGAGGCTTCTATCCACCTCTCCCGAAGACGCGGCCCTGGCACCAGACCCGTCTCAGGTCTGTTGTCCACCGGTGCCAGGCGCGTCGGCCGGTGGTCCCAAGCCCGCCACCTCTTCCCCCTCCTCCGCCCCCCCCCCTCCTCCTGCCACATCCGCTTGCCTCGGTGGTTGTGCACAGTGCCAGTCGTTCGCTGCTGTCTGGCCTGTTGGCGCTCTCTGTTTTCCTTTCTCGGCTGCCTGGGCTCTCCCAGATAGCCGCCAGATCCTTGAAGCAGCTGAGGCCTCGCGGGCCAAAATGTGACCGTTTTCTCATTCATTGTCTTGCCGATCGGCGCGGGCCCTCGCACCCCCGCTTCCTCCCCCCTGGAGTAGATCTTGGTTGCTTTTGGTACCTGTTTCGAGCAGGTTGGGGGCTCCCCCCTGTGACGCACTGCTGCAAGCAGTTACACGAAGCAGAGGTCTGGAGCCAGACCCCCGCCCCCCCCCCCTGTTCCGCCCGATGTCGAGGACGCCGAAGAAGAAAACGCTCACCAACGATACAATATCTTGCCGCATCCGCTTCGCCGCAAGGCTCAGGGACACCGCGGAGGCGCTCTCCCTCTACGTGACAGGGGCCGCGCTCGGGCAGGGCGGGGTTCCCCCCCGCGTAGAGATGGGGGGGGGAGCAGAGCAGCGGCAGGGCGCCGGGCCTCCACGCGTGGAGGGCGTCCGACGGGGCCCGTGGCAGGGGCGGGAGGGCCTCGCTTCTCGTCGGCGAGACGTAGGAGTGCTTGGCATCGCTCGGACGTGTGCATTTCTCCTTCGGCGAGGGCCATCGAGGAACATCCTTGATCACTTGGCGAAAAAGCCACGCACGGAGCCGAAAAAAGCAAAGGGAACGGACGTCCGAGCGATGGCCAGGGTGACCCTTCGCCGAAGTGGCCTTTGGTGCGGGCCCGCTCGGGTCCCCCGATCGCCAGATGCCGAGCGGTGGTGGCGGCCTGCGCGCGGGTGTTTGGCCCCCCCCCCGCGGCCCCCAAAACGCTGCGCACCCAAGGTGACTCTCGCGGTGGTTTCGCGTCGTGTCGACCAGCGGCGATCCCAGCGCGGGCGTTCAAGGTTGAACGCCGCCGGCGACCCAAAATCGGTCGATGTTGAACGATCGGACGTCTGGTAAACTACTGATCGTTCAAGGTTGAACGCTTCCTGCGGTGTCAGGGACCAATGCCGGGGTCGGCACGACACGAACCTGCCGTACCCAGGGTCACTCTTGCGTGTGGCCGATTCTCGGGGCATCGAGACGTACGGCAGGTTCATGCTGCGTTGGCCCGCCGGCGACGCCAGCCCAGGCGTTCGAGGCTGGTTTCTGCGACGCAGAAACCTCGAGGGACGCAGTGACGCCACTGGGCCCGACGGAATGCAAGCTTGATCGAGCGCGGCCGCGATCGATTCGAGGCCGAAGGATCGATCGGGGCCGCGATCGCTTCGAGATCGAACGATCGACTCAGGAGGGAAAGAAACACACAGACACAATTAATCGTCGACTCCCAGGAAAATATACAAAAATAAGGGAAGTGGGGGGGAAGACAAAAACCAAAAAAAAATATAGAAAATATGGGGAATCTTTTTATTTGTGTGTATTTATTTGTGTGTCCTGGGGCCCCTTCATCGACGTGGTGTCAACTCGCCCGCTCCGACGCCGCGCGAGAATATCCTTGCCGTGCCGGCGCCGCGCCTCTCTCCGGCTCGGCCCGCGGCCGGCCTGTCGGATGTCCGCCGTTCGGTCGGTTTGGAGGCGCCAGAATCTCGGGCCGGGCGAAAGGGAGGGATAGGGTAAGGGGGGGTTACGGAATCTGCTGCATGCAGCTGGTTTCGGCCCCGCCGCCGGGCCCATTCCTCGATACATGGGCGCCTCTGGCGCAGGGAGGCCCCGGGAAAATCAGCTACGTGCGCTGATTCTCAACCACCCCCTTTGCTATCCCCCCCTTTCGCCCGGCCCGAGAATCAAGCAGTGGCGAAGCGTCCTGGCTCACCGACAGTCCTACCACACAATGTTCTAAGAGCCTCTTGTGGCTTCCACGGGATGTTATTGGAACACTTCTGGCGGAGTCCGTCTTGTTTTACCACATCGCATCGCGTTTATTTTCTAAGAACATTTTTTGCTCCTGATGCATTCTTGGGTTCTAAGAACATTTCGTGGTAGGACTATCGGAGTGCCGGGACGGTCGGTCCCTGCTCAATTCGGAGGCGCCAGAAAGACCAGCATCGGAGTGGCATCCTCATTTTCTCTGTGTTCGGGCGCTCCACCCTGGAGTGCTCTTCGCTTGCAAGTCTAGGGGGCCAGATGCGAACCCTACCCCTACCCCCCACGATTTCTGAGGGGGAGGGTGGGGTTCACTTTGCTCGGGAGCTCCCGAGCGAAGTGAACCCCACCCTTCCCCTCAGAAATCGTGGGGAGTAGGGGTAGGGTTCGCATCTGGCCCCCCAGAGGCACCCCCACGAGGCATTTTTGGCCTTCTGCGGAGGGGCCTGTGCTTCGGAGTCGGTTCGGCCGCATCGCGGCCGGAGGCCTCCGGTCGGTGCGGCGCTCGGGCGGTTGGCTTTTTGTTGCCGGGCCGTGGCGCGCCTCTTGCGGCTCGTCGGCTCCGGCTGCGCTGTGGGCCCGGTCGATGCGTGGCCGTGCCTCTTGCCGCAGAACGGCCCTGCCAACGGTGGCGTGCCCAGGGTCTCCAGGGCCGGCCGGGCGGGAGGAGGAGGAGGGGGACGAGGGGGACGAGGAGGAGGAGGAGGAGGAGCAGGAGGAGGAGGAGGAGGGGGAGGAGGAGGAGGGGGAGGAGGAGGAGGAGGAGGAGGAGGAGGAGGTGGAGGAGAGGGGAGGGGGAAGTCAACCCAGCACGCGCTGCTGATGCTGCAGGGCATCCTGCCCAGTGCAGGTCTGGAGCCGGTGCGGTTGCGATTGCGGTTGCGCGCCCGCGGGCGGGTCGAAATGTGTCGCCCAGTTGCGGTTGCGGTTGCGCGCCCGTGGACGGGTCGAAATGTGTCGCGCAGTTGCGGTTGCGGTTGCGCGCCCGCGGGCGGGTTGAACTGTGTCGCCCAGTTGCGGTTGCGCGCCCGCCTGCGGGTTGAAATGTGTCGCCCAGGTGCGGTTGCGCGCCCGCGGGCGGGTTGAAATGTGTCGCCCAGGTGCGGTTGCGGTTGCGCGCCCGCGGGCGTGATGAAATGTGTCGCCCAGGTGCGGTTGCGGTTGCGCGCCACGCGTGCGGCTTGAAATGTGGTCCCAGTTGCGTTGCGCGCCCGCGGGCGGTTTGAAATGTGTCGCCCAGTTGCGGTTGCGGTTGCGCGCCCGCGGGCGGGTCGAAATGTGTCGCCCAGTTGCGGTTGCGCGCCCGCGGGCGGGTTGAAATGTGTTGTTCAAGGTGCATTCCTGACGTTCAGTCAGTCAATCAGTCAGTCAGTCAGTCAGTCTCTGGCGGGCACGGAATCTGACTCCGCCGGGAAATAATCATGGGACGATAGTATGACTATTTTTGACTCTTTCTGAGCACTAGTTGACTATTTTCCTATTCTCCTCCCTAGCCCGCCTGTAGGAGGATATGCCCAACTTAAGGGTATTCCCGGATCGCTGTGGCGAGAGCCCGTCTGAACAGCCAGGGCCCCGTGAGCCCGGCGCGGCTTGTGATGGCCCGGGCCGCAGACCCCGACGTCATGATTCAGGAGGCTTACACACGCCGTTCCGGCGACCCCCTGAGAAGAAGGGAGATGGAGTGGAAGATGGCGAATGTCAGCAGGCCCAAATGGCAGAACCGAGCGCCCATCCCGGCGCGGGCGAAACACGCCCTGGCACACTACATTGCCATCAACGTCTCCCTTTGCAAGCGGGCACACGTGTACAGAGAGGAAGCAGGCACAAGCTGAGTCCGCCCTCCGACCTCTCATTAGTGGCTGGCCCCCAATATAGCGGCGGAAACGCCGTGCCTCAGGGGGGAAGCCAACAACAGGAAGCAACGGGCAGGACCCGAGCGTTGGACCTGTGACCGCAGACCCCGCAGGGTGAGGTCGACCCCCCGGCCCCTTCCCCCCAGCCTGCAGGCGGGGCGGGAGGCGGCGGCCCCGCCAGGGGCGGGGTCGGTCCAGTGCTGGGCCTACCTTGCAAGCCAACGCGGAGTGGTGCTCAGCGCCAGAGCCGCCCGCTCAGTCTCAGACTCTCAATCGGTGCCCCAGGCTATGCTACGCGATTATGCAAGTTCGCACCCTGGGTGGCAGGATGTATTCAGTTGTCGTCTTCCGCTGGCATCCTAACACGGCAAACGGTGTACCCGCGGCTAGCAGCATTCCAAGCAGGGCGGCTGGAAGCCATGAGCCGCGGGCTCCGCATCGTCCTCGGCGGTGCACCGCGCACAGGAGGTGCCACGCGGCGCCCATGCTGCGCCGCCTGGCCGCGGCGGCAGGGACTTAACAAAAATACCTTGGCCTGGCGGCGTGGAAGATGGCGACGCGGGAGAGAGGAGGAAGGAGGCGAGGGATAAGCCCGACGAGGACGACGGGAAGATGTTCGATGTTCCGGGAAACCCAGTCCCCCGACACCATTTTTGGTTACACAGCGTCGACCCCAAGAAGTCTCGACCCGTTTCCCCAGGGCTTGCTTTTCATCCCGAGTCGTTTCTTGACGGTCGCAGGGCTCGGCGGGAGCTCCCGGAGGCAGAAAGGGCTGCAAAACCTGCCGTCTTGTTTGTTGTCAAGACGCGAGGGGGTCTGGGAAGGGAGGGGCGGGGACGATGACAACCCGACGGTCCTTTTGGGGCCCATGTTTAGGGGAACCAGAAAGGGCATAAACATAAAGCCTCGGAGGTCCGCGCGGATTTCTCGGATCGGCGCTGGGGCCCCCTGGCGGCGCCTCCGGCGCCGCCCCTGGCGCGCTCCGCGCGCCAGGGAGGGGGGTCCACTTTCTGTTCCCCTGAGCATGGCTGGGAGCGTTCGAGCACTGCGCGCGCGCGGCTGTCTCCTCGCTTCCCTCCTGCCCTCACCGCCGCCTCTGTGCCCACCTCGCGCTCTGCAGCAGCCCTGCGGGTGCTTGACCGCGACTCGGTCCCGAGGCGCCGCCGACCAGCAGCGCACAGGCGTGTTCGAACATATTGCGGCCCTGGCCACGGCAGGCGGCGCCCAACAAACAGCTGGAGCTGCGGATGCGCATCGGTGTGCGGAGGGAGGGCCACACTTCGGGGGTGGACAGAACCCCCAACAGGGACACGTCGACTAGTGAATTGTCCGCTTTCGGTTCTCGAGAGGGCGCCGTGGCCGTTATTTTCCAGGCTTGCGCCCGCCAGGTTTGGGCCTCAGGCCGTTTTCACGAAACCACGCTTCACGAAAGGGGGGTCTGTCCATCCCCGAACATTGGTACGCAGCAGCGCAGCGCGGCATCACAACGGGGGCGCCATGCGCGGCAGGACAACGCTTCGCGATGCTGAGAACGGTTCGCATCCGCTGCGGCAACTTGAAAGCACGGGGCTCGTTTTCGGTTGGTGAACAGTTACAGGCCTCCATTCGTGTAGCCGGCAAAACTATTAAGCGTCAAGGCCGTATATTCATATATACACACATGTATGTGTACACACATATATATATATATATGTATATTGCACGGCAGCTTGACGCTAAACGCTTCGGCTGGTCTACGGACACGTCTGGTGGTGCGACGGAAGAATTATTGATAAGGAAGCGGGATGTACAAGAGGAGGAGGATGCGGAGGAGGAGGGGTGCTGGAGGGAGGTAATATGTGGGCGGGAGGGGAGAAAGGCAGACGGCTGGGAGATTACAGGGAGGTGCGAGGCACGGATCTCACTGCCGTGCCCTTCCTGCTCCAACTCCGCCCTCCTCCTCCTCCTCCTCCTCCTCCTCCTCCTCCTCTCCTTTCGGTAGAACTGTCGATTACCCAAGGGCGTCTTTTTTCTGGAGTCGGGCCAGACCTGTCGACGTGCGGCCCCGACTGCAATCGGGCCTTTCGCACCCAGGGGCCTCCTCCCCTCCCCAGGTGAACCTGTCGGCGGTGGATTTGGGGGCGCCCGGCAAGCCCAGCGAGTACCTGCTGCTGAGGGGCCCGGCCAACCAGCCGAACTCGGTCGCAATCCAGGCCCCCGCGCCCTTGGCACAAGACCCCCACTACCGCTCCCTGCGCCTCCTCCTCATCCGCCATCCTCGTGCACTTCCTCTCCCTCCTCTCCCCGCTACTCCCGTCGCCTCGCGCCCCCCATCCCCTTTGCCTCCCCTCCCCCTTCCCCCCCCCTTCCTCCCCCTCCCCCGCACCTCTCCTTTTTTCCCTCCTCTCCCTCGCTCCCCCTCTGCCTCTCCCCCTCCCGGATCGCTGTACCCTTCAAGCCCCCCCCCCCCCCATCCCTAACTGCCTCCAACTCCCCCTTCTCCCCCCGTCGCCTTCCCTCCCCTTCCCCTCCTTCCCGTCTTGTTGGGTACAACGAGAGTTTCTGGCATATGGTGCATGCGGCGCCCGTGCGAAGTTAGGCCCGGGGCCGCAGGAGGGTGACGTTGATCACATGGCGCACCCTGCGGATTTGCAGCTATCAGCTGCCCGAGAGGTTGTGGGTCGGCCGTGCAACATGTTGATGTTTGCAAGCGCAGGCCGGTACGACCCCCTCGCCTCCACATCTCAAGAGGAGCTGTACGGCGAGAGTCCCACGCAGCATGAGGCTGTGTTCCTCGATAGCTCCTTGGAGAGCTAAGAGGGTTGTTAGATACGAAGCCGGCAGGCAGGGCTACGCCAGCTCCTCTCCAAGGATCCCGGTCAGGCAGCGCCGCAGCGATTTGCTTGGCCTCGCAGCGTCTTCCGGCAAGCGTTGTCTTACTCGTTCCCAAGACGCCTGCCTGAAGCCTTTCCGCGCGTCCTTCGCAGCTCCTTCGCAGCTTCCTTTCCAAAGCTTGCAAGCTCCCCCGGCATGCCTTCCAGCGTCCTGGCAAGCGCCTCCACCGCAGGTTTCCTGTGCTTTGGACTGCGCTGCCATCGGGGTTTGGGACGCCACAAGCACCTGCACGGCGTTGCTCGGGTTAAGTCGGGCCTGTCCCTCTACAGGGGGAATGTTCAAAAATAGTAAAAAAATAGTCTGGGGACGATTTGTTGGGGCATTTGTTTGACATTTTGGGGCATTTTGGGGGGCATTTTTCATTTTTCGCCCAAAATCCCCCCTGTGGTCAAGGGACGATGTTTTGCTAATGTTTGTCCATTTGGGGGCATGTTTGGGGTATCTTTCACTGTTCGCCCAAAATCCCCCCTGTAGGGGGACCGGCCCGACTTCAGCCCAGAGCGGCCCACAGCCTCGGGCCCTGCGCGCTCTCCGAGCCTGGGCTCAGCAGGAGGCCGAGATCCCTGGCGAGCCCGCCGCCGCCGTGCTGCCGACGACGACGACGACGACGACGACGACGACGACGACGACGACGACGACGACGACGACGACGACGACGACGACGACGACGACGACGACGACGACGACGACCGCCCCTGCGCGCTCTGGCTCGGGCAGGCGTGCCCTGCCCCGCGCCCTCCCGCCCGCGCGAGCGCGGCCGGTCGCACAGAACTGCCCCTCCCTCTCGGTCTGGGCTGGTCGTCGAGCCGAGCCCCGGTGCGGGCGGGCCGTCGGTCTGCCCCGGCGGCTGCCGGTTTTTTGTTGGGGGCCTTCTGGGTGTGGACGCTGGCCGCGAGAGGCAAGAGCAGCGCATCGCGGGGAGCGTGAGGAGGAGGGAGTGATACCACCCCCTCCTCACGCTCCCCGCGAGCCCTGGGCGGCGCGCAGGGGTTGGTGCAGCGAGCGTCGGGGGGACGGCAACGGGGGGAGAGGGGGATTCCACCAGGCCTCCTAGATGGGGCTGGAGTAGATGGGATCGGAGGATTGTGCCGCATCGCCGGTGCATCGCATCGCCGATGCATCGGCGATGCACCAGCGGTGCGGCTCGATGTGGGGCCAGTTTTCGCCACGCCGACGTCGCCGATGCATCGCTGGCGCCGCGAGTGCATGGCCGATGCACATCCTCGATGCATCGCCGATGTGTCGGCGATGCGGCGAGATCCTCCGACCCCGTCTGCTCGGACCCCATCGTGGAGGCCTCTAGGGATACAGGCTGGGGGAGATCGGGCCCTGCAGGAAAGCGCTCCCAAGCGGCCCTTCGACGGCCACCGCGGGCCCACAAGGTGAAAGAAAGGCGTGCGTCTCTTCGCCCCCGCGTAGACTGCCTCCCCCTCTGGCGCATGCCCGACAGCTGCAGCGGGCGGGCAGTCGTACGCGCAACGAGGAGCCGCGCGGCAGACCGAAGACGCGGGCGGCGGAGTGCGCGAGCAGTCTTTGGGATGGGCAGTGCCTCGCCGGAGACGCCGCGGAAGGCGGCGGCGCACTGCCCAGCGATCTCTCCTGCAAGACCGGCGGATCGAGAGACCAGGAATCGCAGGTGCGGTTGCCCGGCGCCGGAACTCCGCATCGGCTTCGCGCGAGCTCCTCCTCCCTGTGCCCTCCTGCCTCCCTCCCTCCTTCCGCTTCCCTATCGTCATAGTCCTTCTCCTCCTCCTCCCCCTCCTCGCTTTTCCCTCGGTCACTCCTCTTTCCCTCCTCCTCCTCCTCCTCCTCCTCCTCCCTCCTCCTCCTCCTCCTCCTCCTCCTCCTCCTCCTCCTCTTCCATCCTTCACTTCTCCCTCCTCCTCCCCATCCGCGCTCCTTCTTCCTTTCCTCCTCCCTCCTGTCCCACCAGCGCTCCCAACACCGACGCCGACACCCATACCAATCCCACTTCCATGGCAGACGGTATTATTGTGAAAAAGCAGCCACCGCCAGTTCTGGCATGACGGTGTTAAGGGTTGCTGAGGAGCCGCCGTTGGGTTCCGTTGGGATCAGCATTGGGCGTTCGCCGCGTCCTTTCCCCCTGGGGAACTTCGAGAGCGAGGTCTGATGGCCTTCCTGTCTGCGGCGCGCTTTGTGATGGGGCCATGCGTCTGCCTCTGTTCCTTCCTCCTCTCCCCTCCCTCTCTCTTTCTCTATTCGGGGGTGGACAGAACCCCCAACAGTGACACGTCGATTAGTGAATTGTCCGTTTTCGGTTCTAGAGAGGGCTCCGTGGCCGTTATTTTCCAGGCTTGCGCCTGCCAGGTTTGGGCCTCAGGTCGTTTTCACTAAACCACGTTTTACTAAAGGGGGGTCTGTCCATCCCCGACTGTTCCTTCCTCCTCTCCCCTCCCTCTCTCTTTCTCTATTTCTCTCTCCCGCACCGTGCTCTCGCTCGACCTCACCACGCAAGAAAGGAATCTGCTGGACAAAACCGTGTTATCGCTCGGGCGCGTGCGTTCTTCTCGGCGAGGCCCGCGCCAGGAAGTCCGACCACTTCGGAGCACATTGGGCCATCTGGAAAAAAAACACAGGCACGAAACGGAAACAAGGCACAGGGAATGGACGTCCGAGCGATGGCAAGGCTCTCTCCTTCTCTCTCTCTCTTTCTCTTTCTCCCTTGCGTGGGTAAATCTAAAGCTACGTGTGTTGACTTGTGCCAGGGACGCCAGCCGCACCTTGCCGCTCCCTCCTGGCTCGCGCGGTCGCTGTACCTCGGTGGATACGTCGGGTGTTCAGGTGCCCCTGACCTTCTCACGCTTGACCCTCTAGAATATCTCTCTCTCTCTCTCGCTCCCTCTCCCTCTATCCCTCTCTCTCTCTCTTTCGCCCCTTGTTTCTATCTCGTTTTCTCTTTCTCTCTCTCTCTCTCTCTCTCTCCTTTTCCTCTCTCTCTGTTATATATATATATATATATATATCTCTCCCTCTCTCTCTTTCTCTCACTTTCTATCTCTCTCTCTCTCTGTTATGTTTCCCTCTCTCCCCCTTTTCCTTCCTCTCCCTCGGCCCTCGCTCCTCTCCTTTCCTCGCGCCGTGCGTGTGGTGGGCACCTCTTGGCTGGCGTCTCCGGCGAGGTCCGGGGGCTCTGCGCGGGCACGCGCTGCGGACATCGGCTAGGCCCGTGCGGGCTCTCTGCCCCCCCCCCACCCAGCCGCTGGCTGACGACTCTTGTGTGAGGCACCCGTGAGCGCGGCGTTGGCCAAGGCACAGGCACGCCGCGCAGTCTCTTGGCAGTTTTGTTTTCACTTGTTCATATATATATATATATATGATAAGAAACATCAGAAACATGAACTAACGTAAGCTAAGGGCACTCGCCCATCCGCCCATCGTCCAGCGCGCGGACAGCCAGGTTACGTCTCGTCTCCTTCCCACGTTTCCCCCCCGCTCCCCGTCGCTGGCGTCGACATCGCGAGTGGCGTTCCCGGCTTGCCTGTGCGGTGTTCCGTCTCGCGCCGCTGTGCCACTCGTCCTGCGCCTGCTGCAAGACCATTACGTCCCTCCCTCATTCTTCCGCCCCCCCTCATCAATCCGTTCGACAGCTTTCCTCGGAGCGTTTCGGAACGCTCTGAGAAGGCCGCGGCGCCCGAGACACCGTCCAGAGCCGCCAGATCTGTGAAGTTCTCGATATCTCCCCACCCGATATTATCCTCGTCCTGGCTTCGTCTTACTCCCTCCCCTCCCCAGGAGGAGGAGGAGGAGGAGGAGGAGGAGGAGGAGGAGGAGGAGGAGGAGGA